GAGTGGTGAATATTCATTTCACTCGCTTGACAAATACCTAGAATGTCCACGGTGGGTTCTCAGATCCACTGGGCGAGATGGAGACCCATGGCCACAGGATGCAGGGGGCCGGAGGGAGCCTGGGCAGCCTGGCTGGTGTGTGCTACCCTCCCCCTGAGCTGGGGAGGCTTGTGGCTGCAGGTGACCAGCTCGACTCACTCTCAGGAGACGCTGTGTGCAGGGCTGTGAGTGTTCAGGGACACCACCTGGGACTGGGTCTTCCCCACCCTTCTCAGCCACAAATGCCCGCTGCCCCCGACATCAAGCCTACTCCAGGAGGAGGACGAAGTGAGGCGGGGGGGGCAGGGCCCACTGAGCCTCCTCCTTTCTATCAGGAGGAAGAGCCCAGCTTTCCCAGAGCCTGACCCAGTGGGCCAACGAGACCAGATACCACTGACCAGAGGGGGCACACGGCCCCTCCTAAGGCGACTAGAGGCTCAGCCTGTGTGGGCACAGGGTCAGCCACACGGGTCAGCACAGGAGAGGCAGAGAGTGGACCTGGAGGGCAGCTCGTAGGGTCTAGGAGGCCAGGCAGTGGAGCGTGGTCAGCCCCTAATCTAAACCCTCCCAGCAGTCCTCTCTGCTGTGAGCACAGGACACAGAATCAGGAGGGCGTGTCACTTCCTCTGACAGGACTGCACCTGCGCTGAGTTCCTGTCCCTCCACGCGCCTGGCCTTCCACTGTCAGCCAGGCGGGTCAAGCTGGGCAGCAGGGGCGGGGTGACACCGTGGCAAAGAGGCGAAAACCATGATCTGGATGATCTGCTCGGCTCCGGCCCCTCTGTCCACGCTGGGACAGACCTCAGACGCGGGCCCAGGCCCTGCCTCGACCTCTCCCCAGCACATGCCACTCCTTCAGCCCCTGCAGTCTAAGGTCAGGCATGCTGCTGAAGCCAGGGAGGCTGTCACCCTGGCACCCTCTTGTCCCTTCTTCCTTCCTAAAGCAAAACGCAATCGTGTCAAGCACTTTGCTCATTAATCAGGTGATGAATTATCATGGATCTAAGTGAAACATGACCACAATTCTCTGTCCTCCCAGGCTCCCTGCCTCATTCAGCTAGTGACATGTGACCTAGTTCCAGCCAATGAGAACCTCTGCAGGGAGGCTGAAAGCTTTTGCTTTCTTCATACAGGTAAGAAATGCAGCACTACCACTCCCTTCTTCATCTGCTCTGAACTCAGATACAAATGTGGAGCCACAGCAGCTAGTTTGTAATGATAAGGCAATAAAATGAGAAGCCAAATGTGGTAGAATGGTAAGAATGGAAAATATTAGGGCTGTAATGACATTACTGATCTACTGTTCCCACCCTTGACCATGTCTCTGTACTTACTGTATAGTGAGAAAAATTAACCTCTATTTATTAAGATTCTGCTAATTGGGTTTTATCCTATTGGATAAGAATATCCTGAAATGATATAAACAAGAAATGATGGGGCTCCTGCCTTTGTGACCCCTACAGTTTAAGAGCGATGACTGTCTGGATAATGTACATTCTGGGAGGGGGAAGCAGAGCATGGTGTAAGGGACCCAGGAGGGTCTTAAGCAGATGGGGCCTAAATTTGTCATTAAAGCAGGACTCTTCCTCCTCGACACCTGAACCCACAGTGTACCCACCGCCCTCAGGTAAGGCATAGCCCTTTGACCCTCAGTAGAGTGTCCCTCTCACCTGTCACTGTCCCTCCAGCATCAAAGGAGAGTGACCCTCGAGGCTTCCACTGCCCCCACAGGCCCCGCTCTGAAGCTGCTGTGCTGTCCAGAGTTCTGCAGGGCAGCTGGAGGGCGGTGCAGGGCACCCGGGAGGGCCGCAGCTCAGGGCAGGCTGACCATTAATTATTAACACAGAGAAAAAGACACCAGCTGAGCAGTTGCTCAGCCTGAAGTGCGGCATCGCCCAGGAGGACGCTTACCCACCCAGCTCAGGTGTTATCACCCATTCCAGCCAGTGACCACAGTGACCACAGTGACCACAGTGACCACGGCCAAAGTGAACTACCCCAAAACATGACCACGGCAGGGTATGCGCAACCACATGCCAGTGTGCTCCAGTAAAAGCAGGCAGGGAACACGGCTGTGGGGACCGAGGACGCTGCAGACCAGCCAGTGGCAGCCGGCTCTCCACACTGAGCTGCTCTGCTCCTCCAAAGGTTCTCAATACATAGTATTTGTTACCCTATTGGGGGAAACTATTTTAAGCCTAATTAGCATGAAATTTTTAGAATGCAAATGCTTTTCATTTAGACATAAAACAAAATGCCACGACATTTCTTCCATCCATTTATCATAAACAAGTTAATTACTGTGTAACAAATCGCTCTTGCCGGAAAGTGTGTGTTTGGGGCTGCTGGGGAGCTGACTCAGGCAGAGAGAGGGAGCCACGGAGTGGTCGTTAGCAGCTTACGGGGAACTTACAATAAAGAGGGCTCTACGAAGCTTTGCTTGTCAGATTAAGGTTAAGTTCTCTCTGTTGGAATAGCTCACTTATAAGCAGCCGTTATCTATTTACTGCGACTCCTACCAGAACGACAGGAACACTGCCTCTCATTTATTTTTGACACATCCATCTCTGCTGTGTTCTTGCAGTTGCAAAGTTTTCCACACACACAGGAAGGTTTACGTGTCCTGGCTTGCGTGTATTGCAGTTTTAGCTTCTGTCTCCATATGTGTGAAATTACTTCTAAGTCTTCCTTAAAAAAAACTCTCTGCTCCTGAGATGTGACACCTTATGAAAAGCAAGGGGAAGAAACAGGAAAGGTGGTGCCCCAGGCACAGGAGGAGCTGAGCCGGTGGAGAAGGCCCCAGCTGGTGACCCTCAGTCAGCCCTGTTCCCTGAACCAGGCCTGGGCCAGGCCGCTTCTCAGGGATAAGAAGGGCTTAGAAAATGAGCTGCCTATCCACAAGGACCACAAGCCGGTCTGCCTTCACCCAGAACTAGGTGAACACCGTGGGCACCCAGGTGCCAGGCAACATCTGTCCAGCCATCCAGCTTCCCCCCACAGCCACCGAGAGCAGAGCAGAGTGTGGCCAGAATGCCCACACGCCCATGGGGACCGCCTCCTGGCAAGCACGAGGGCCCGCCCCACTCTTCCGTCACAGCAGGCCTACCTTCCCAGCCCCGAGTACGATGGATACTCCAAGGTCTTGTCGTGCTTATCCCTGTGCTGCCAGAGGCCCAAGGTGACAGTCTCGACTCAGCAGAGGTGTCTAGGAGGCACCCACAGCAGGACAGAGAACGCCACCTGTCCTGTGTGGCAGGCACACAATGTGCCAGGGCACCCCTGGCCCCTTCTGCCAGCCCACAGGGATCTCAGTCAACCAAAGGACCCCGAGAGATGCCCGTCCTGGCAAACTCCAAAACGAGACACAGGCACGACTGAGGGAGCATCTCTTGAAAACACCTTCCCTGCACACTTCTGAGACAGCGAGTCCATTCTGCTCCTGGGGGCAGGCTGCCTGGAGTGTGTTTCATAGTCAATGAGAGATAATGGTATCACAAACGGAAAATCAAAAAATAAGTAGGAAAAGTTATGCTTGGGGGGCCGGAGCCGTGGCTCAGTGGTAGAGCGCCTGCCTGGCATGTGTAAATGTGGGAGGCACTGGGTTCGATTCTCAGCACCACATATAAATAAATAAATAAATAATAGAGGTCCGTCAACAACTAAAATATATATGTAGTTACAGTTGGTGCAAATACAAGCCTGATTGACATAACCAGGCACAAAGAAGGAGGTCAACAGGCTGGGTCTGGAAGGATGTGGATAGAAATATCGCCCCACTGTGTGTGTGAGTACACACTCCACTGTGCACACACACAGGCATTGCCACCCTCTCTCCGACAAAAATGGGGAGCGGTCAACAGCTGAGGAATGTTTTAGTGTGAATGCTGAAATTCAGCCTTACACTTGATCAAGTCTGCCCCCCCCCCAAAAAAAAAACTCTGAGGTCAGCTCAAAGGCTGCCACTTCTGAGACACTGAGACCAAGAGGGGCGCTTTCTGGCCAAGGTGCCCCTAGCCTAATTCTGAAACCTCAGGAAAGCAAGAACTGATTTATTTCCCCTCCTATGCAAATATAAAGTTTAATTAGTTTGTCTTAAAAAAGAAACAGATCGATGTACAGCATGATCTATTGTCGCGTGGGTTCTTGAGCTGCCTCCCGTGCGCCCGTCACAAATGTGGACACGATCCTGCAATTACGACAAAGCTAATTGGTAGTTCCCTCCTGCGTGTGTGTTTCCGTGTTGTCAGTGGGGCAGTAATGAAAACGAATGCCACATTTGTGAACAGAACGTCTGTGGGCTTATTTACCGCATTTCCAACAACATCGTCTGCTTTATCATGCATTTCAGAGCAGGGATAATTTAAGAATCCAGAATTTCATACATAAAAATACTTGGTAAGAAAGTCTCTCTCTGCACATTATTTGGGTGACGTTACATCCAAATTCCAATTTGTTGCCCAGGAAATGATTCACCTCACTCAAAAATGACAGGGATTCTGAATCATTCACCTTGATGCAAAATGCCTTTGACCAATTCACACCTCATGGACCGGGCAACCACACCTGCAGCAGCCGGGCACCAAGACCAGCCAGGCCTGGCCTCTTCTGCCTAAGTGACCTCCCCAGCGCACAGCTCAAAGGCAACCGGCTTCCACCCTCTGCGCCCTGCCCTACCTTTGAGCAGCCTCTCTCCTTGCAGAATATCTGGGGAGATTAATGCCGTGTAACCTTCTTCTGAGAATCCAGCCTTGCAGGTCTCCCTGGCTGTAAGATCCTCATGGGCCTGAGAAGACAGAGGAGACACATTGAACAGAATTAAGTTCACAGAATGCAGCCTAACCGACATTTAATGGTGGTGGTGGTGGTGGTGGTAGTGGGGTGGGGTGGATGCGTAAAACGCAGGTCTTTGGCTGAGAATTACTGAGAAGCCACAGTCTCCACCCAGAGGTGATTCCTGATTCTCTACTATCTGGGGACTTAAGGATCCTGGATTGGAAGAATCATCCCTAGCTCAGGCGGGAGCAAAGGGCCTACTGACAGTTAGTTGGGGACCTGCCAGGCCTTATGGGCACATGGCAAGAGGAAGACAGTAGAGAAATGTCCACAGGCAGCTGACAGGGTCAGCCCGTGAGGCACACGGGGCCAGGCCAGGGTGAGGCCTTCAGGCTCCAGTGCTCTGGCTTTAGGTAGGAGGGGACACCTAAGTCTCCCCTCTGCCTGCCACAGGGGATGTGGGAGAAGGGGAAAAGAGCAAGAAAGGGAATTTCCCAGGAATGGATTATATGGGGCCAGGAGCAACCCTGCAAAGGAGGTGTGTAAGTAGGGCAGGGAGGGGCTGCTTCCATACTCAGGCCCTCCCCTTCTCATCCATGGCCCCTAGTTCACCCCCCCCCCATCTCCAGCCCAACCAGGTGGACTCCCCTAAATGACTAGGAAAGGCGAGGGTCCTGTCCTGGGCGGCTCACTCCTCTAGAAGTCTAGAGCCCAAGGCAGTAAGACAGCAGGGCAGGGCAGGATGGCCACAGGGCCCCTCTCAGCTACAGCGGGTAAAGCAGAGGCAATGTGTGCAACTGCATGAAGCCAGCCCTGCTCCTGGGCGAGATCAGGAAGCCCAAGGCGGAGGCTGCACCCCGCAGTTGTGCTTCGCGCGGAGCCTATGGAGCAAAACCGCCTCCCTGCTGGCTGCCTCCTCCAGCCCCGCGCGTCACCGCTGCTGCTGGGGCTTGGGCTCCAGAGGCTTCCCGTGGCCCGAGCTGTGCTCCCGACACTGGCCCCAGATGCGGACACCCCTCCACCCCAAAGCACCGAGGGGAGCGAAGGTGGGGAGCCTGGTCTTTTCTTGGAAAAAGCTCCAAACCACGGCTCCATTCCTGGGGAAGGAAGCTCCGAATAACACACGCAACCCGGGTGGGGGTGGGGGTGGCGAAACTCGTCCCGGAAAGTTTCAATCCCCCGGGGGCGTGTGCCCAGGGCACCCCGGAACACCCCGCGGCCTCGGATCGGGCCTCCGGTCGCCACGATGGTTCATTTCCGAGGTGAAGACAGCGAAGCCTGGGAGGAGGCAGCGAGGCCGATCGGCCGCGAGAGGGGGTTCCTGCCACTCCTGCAGCCCCTCTGCCTCCGCCCAGGGGCGCCCCTGGAGCCGCGCACACCGCCCCTATGGGCCCTGCACCTCATCGGGCTCAGAGCCGGGTTGGGGACCCGGCAGCGGAGTTCCGCAGGAAGAAAGGCAGGCGCCCGGCTCGCTCTCCCGGGCGTAGTGCAGCGTAGTGCAGCCCTGCGCCTGCCGGTGCCAGGATTCCCGGCGCCTCTCCAAGTCGCGAGGACCCCGCCAGACAGTGGGACTCCAGCCTGCGCTGGGGACTCCGCGGCTAAGGTGCCTGGCGTTCGACACTGGATACCCATCAGAGACGGTCCCGCCGGCATCCACAGGACCGAGGCGGTGCTGCGCTGCGGACCCCATCCCCGGGCAGGAGGATCAGCCTCGGCGCCTCCACCCCTGGATCCCCGGCCCCTGCCGCCTGGCTCCCCACGCCTACAGCCCTTGCCCGAGCTGGGCTCGCCAACTCCGGAGGCGCGTGGCTCTCGGGCGATGGAGGGCGCGCCGGCTCCGCCAGCGGGCAGCCTGCCCCGGAGCGGGAGAGCCGAGCTCCGGGCAGTGGCCGCGGTTTGGGGCGGCCGAGGGATGCTCGGCGGGTTCCGGTGCGGGCAGGGATCCCTGGTTCCCACCCGCCGCACTCCCAGCCCGCTCCGCACCGCCGCTCCCCGCTGCTCCGCGGCTCCTCGTTCCGCCGACCGCAGGCGGCTGAGCGGAGCGCGGGTGCCGGGCATGCAGAGGTGTGCGCGGCGCGGACGCCCGGGGCTGGCCGGGGAGCCCGGGAGAGCCCGCCGGACCGGTGCGCGCCCCGCCGGCTCCGGGGCCGGGCCCGCGCTGCCCCTGCTCGCGAGCCGCCGGGCGGGGGGCGGCAACTTACCCGGAGCGCGCCGGAGAGCGAGAGCAGCACCAGGAGCACGCCGGAGCCCGCGGTCATCTTCCCCGCCGCGCCGCCCCGGCGCCCGCACGGTGCCCGGCGCCCAGAGCCCGCTCCCCGCCGCCGCCCGATGGCCGCCTCCGCCCGCGCCGGCCCGAGCTCCGGCCCCGCTGCGCCCGCCGCGCTCGCCGCCCCGGCTCCGGGAGCCAGGCCAAGACCGGCCGGCGGCGCGCTCCCTCGGGCCGCTGCGTCCGCCGGCCTCGCAGCCGCCCGCGCCTCTGTTCCGCGCGCAGAACTGCAGGTGAAGCCGAGCGGCCGCCCCGCGAGGCCCCGCCCCGCCGCCCCGCGCTGCTCGGCCTGACGCGGGCCTTAAAGGCGCCGCGCCCGCCGCCGGGCCGCTTCGCGGCGCCGCCGCCCCGACCCCACAGGTCGCCTGGAGCGGGTTCGGGAGCAAGAGGCCAAGGACTCTCGGTATCCGGGAGCACGGGATAAGGGGCGCGAAAACCAAAGAGAGCGCGGGGTCTCCGAACCTGAGGCCCTCCTGGATGGGCGGCCCCGCGGTCTTAGTCCAACTACCTTCTCCATCCCGCGATGGGAGTGGGCACTGCCATTCTGTCCTTTATTGTTCAGATGCCTGCTTCCTAACTCCCCGGGCAGCTCCGAAGAGATGACCAATATCTTGAGACCCCAGCAGATGAAAAGGGGAGAGGTCCGAGTCTGTGCTCAGATTGCAGGGCTCTGCCCACCCTCCAGCTCACAGAACCTCTCTGAGGGCCTGGCTCCTTAGGTACCCTAAGGATTGGGGATGGGTCTAATTCCTGTTTGTGCATCAAAAACAGTTAAGTCAAAGAAGCCGAGAAACAGGCTTCAGGAAAGAAATTCCTGGGCAGAGGAGCTGTTGAAGCTTCTGCACAGACCGGAGGCAAGGATGCTCCCATGTGCTCTGCCTGGCTGATTTCCAACTGGGGGACATCAAGGGGTCATCAAGTGTAAAATATGTGCGACCTGGAAAATGCGTGAAGGGTTCTGCACGTCTCCTTTGGGCTTGGAGATTTGAAGGAAAGTGGTTTTGTTTGTGATAGTTCAGCTTTCCTTTGTCTTGACTTGGAGGAGCTCTGGGTCCAGAATACAGCAGTCTGGTTTTAAAAATACATTGCAAAGGAGGGGGAAGAAGCTTGAGTGACATGCTGAGTCTCGAGGTCAGAGTCAACTTGGGCAAGAGAGCAGGGACAACACCAGAAAGCCCTTTCCTTCCCTCCCTCAAGTACCCTCGCCCTGTGGGCAGGTGGTCCTCGGGCTAGGGTTGTGTTACTCTGAAGGAAATATGGTTTTAAGTATCCCAGGAAGGATGGAGTGCATGCTGTATCCAAGTGCACAGGGCTAGCTTTGCTTTCTCAACCAGCACTGGGTCTAGTAAAGTGGACACCAAATTTGTATCAACCTGTCACCCCTGCCCTCATCTTGTCCTATCCCCAGCGTTTTGGGGGAAGAAGGGGTTCCAAGGTTCATGACTAATCCATGTGTTCAGACTCACTCAGAGGTCCCATGTAGTCGGCTAGGTGTCACTAAGAAGACCATCCACACTGGAGGAGCATTCTGCCCCTCAGCTATGTACCCATGCTTTTGAAAGATGACCTGTACCCTCTCCTTCTGAGGATGCTTCTCAATGCCCAGTGAGATCAGAGACTGCTGGGGCCCTCCTGTTCTGATGCTGTGTGTAGCCGGTGCCACACCTGTGTCCTTGGGAGACTAAGCCTGGTGTAGACTGTTTCTTGGGAGAGCCTTCACATACCCCAGTGTGGGCTCTGAAGTGCTCTGGGAGGCTCCTCAGGGCTGCCAACATGCTAACTTGGGTAGAGGGGATGGTTGGGGGCACAGGTGGGTCCTGAGATCCAAAGCTGCCCCCTACAATGAGCACCTGAGAGCCTGGATCTATAAAGAGGCCAGCGTTGCACCTTCGCGGATGCTGACTCCCAGACTCCTACCTCCCTGGGGGGTGTGGGGCAATGGGCCAAGCCAGAATTCGAACCTTGACCCTGGGGCCCTCACATGGGCAGCACCCCCCAGACAGCTGTCCCAGGGAACCTGTGCAGGCAGTGTGTAAAGGCTTAAGGGAACACGCTTTTTCAGAGTGGTTTTGGAAGCGTTGCAGTAACCCACTGGAGTCCAGTAGGGAGCATTGCTTTGTCAGACTTGCTCTGAAGGCAGGCAGCGCAGGGAAACCTCACCACAATGGGGAAAGGCCGCTCAGCCCACTGCGGGCTCCAGCCACCACCTCGCTCTTTCCCTCTGAAGCAGTCCCTGGGCCAGCCACTGCCCTCCCAGCATGGGAGGAGCGGGAATCTCACACCTGCATAAAGGGCCCTAGAGGGAAGTGTGCTTTTGTTTCTAAGAGAGATTAAGAAACTGCAGTTGGTGGGTGGCATGCCAGTGACTCTTTGCTCTCAACACCTGTAAACCTTGATGGTAATTGGACTACAGATGTTCCCAGGCTAGATTCAGGCTTGACAGACTCCTCTGGGCCTCCCACGCACCCGTGCGGAGGTGTCTAGGAAGGGGCTCCCTTCAGGCCTGCGTCTCCCTGGTGTTAATTTTTCTTCCCTCCTATTTATCATTATTTTTTTAGATACCTCAATCTCCGACAAAAAAGCTGTTTTGTAAAGAAAGCAGAGAATGTTAGCAAAGCTGGGCACAGGGCGAAAACAAGGACTCTGAGGCAATTGAAGGTATTTGGGTTCCTGTGGGGTGAAAGGGCCCCAGCTCAGGAAAGCCTCCTGCAGGGAACCGAGAGGGACCCACGGGAAAAGGAGACCAGCACAGCCCTCTGCCTCTGCTCACCTGCCCCAGGGAGGCCGTCACACCCTGGTCGGGGTCCACAGAGCCACGCTTTGCTTTAGAGTTTTTCCCACATCATCCTCACATAGGAAGGAGGTGGCTCCTCCTGGCTTCAGGGACAGAAAACAGATTTGGGCCACAGGCTGGTGTGGGGTTACGCTGAGGTGCTGCATTGGCAGTGTGACTTGAACCCAGGGGCTTGGCCGCCAGGCTCCCTGCTGGTGCAAAAGCCCCAGGGGACAAGGCAGGTGCCTGCTCCAGGCTCAGCCATCTTTTCTTTTCCGGCCTCTTGCTCAGTCCTGGCTGTCAGCCCAGCCTCGCTGCAGTCTGGAGAGGTCCTCTCCGTTTGTCTGTACCTCCCATTCTGAGAGCCTGGGTCCCACGTCACCCAGGTGCGACCTTGAGGAAGCCCCAAGGCTTCACGCGTAACTCTGGGGGCTTCTCACATGCTCCCTCGATGCAGGGGAAGAACTTGAGGCCCGAGGCCAGTGGAGGAGCTGGGGCTGGACTTGGGGCTGCCCGAGTCTAGACCCCACCTTTAACCACGACAAAGCTCAGACGTTTGCCGGGGTGAGGAAGGGCCGGAGCCCCTGCTTCCACTCCCTGGGGACCTGGGGAGGGGATAGGAACTTGGAACCTTTGGAAATGTCTGTGGAGCAGGAGAAGCAGCTCAGAAGGGGAAAAATACAGAACGAAACAGTTAAACCAGGAGCTACAAAGCCACCAGGTCTGCTAGAGAAAGACGGTGTCCTGCCACAGGAGGTGGGGAAGGCCTTCCAAGACCCCAGGGCTCTTGTCACCTGTGTCTGCTGCTAGAGAAGAAGAAACACCATGCTAGGTGGAGGGAGGCAGGGGGTGCTGGTCGCAGGACACTCGTGGCCTTGGGTCAGCTTGTCACTGGCTAACGGAAGTGGTGCGTCCTAAGAAGAGGTCAGAATGGGAGCCACCGACGTGGGCGGACTGAGAACTTGAGCTGCAGACACTTGGTGCGCTCCCATGTTGGTGGGGGGCATGGACCCTGCTTCCCCAGATCACAGCACTGCACACCCCATGCTCCCTGGGACCTTTGACATGAGTGGCACTGCACCTGTCTTGGATTCAGTGCATTCAGTGCCCTAGGTCCCGGTGCCCTCAGGGTGGAGCCGAGAACTGATTTCTTTCTTTCTTTCTTTCCTTCCTTCCTTCCTTCCTTCTTTCTTTCTTTCTTTCGATTGAACCCAAGGGCCATAACCACTGAGCCACACCCCAGCCCTTTTATTTTTTCATTTTGGGACAGGGTCTTTGTAAGTTGCTGAGATCTCACTAAGTTGCTGAGGCTGGCCTTGGACTTGCCATCCTGCCTCAGCCTCCCAAGTTGCTGGGGCTTTATTTTTTTATTCTACTTTATTTTTAAATTTTCCCTTTTGCTCCCCAGAGCTCCCACCCCTGCCGCCTCCCCTGGGCCCTGGCTGCTCTCACTACACTCCGAAGGCCAGCCCCGGAGCCAAGGCTGTCACACCATCGTCATGGCCTGCTGGTGGCTTTTTTCTGCCCCCAATAATCTCTCCTGGCCACGAGTCCTGTGCCGTCTGGCCCTGCCCAGCCGTGGCCCTCTCCGGCTCTCCCACCCGCCCACCCCTGCTCCTCCAGAGCCGGGTCCTGCAGCTGGGCCTCTGAACTGGCCTTTGGAATCTCTTTCCTCCGCTCTCCTGGCCGACTGCGGCTGAGAGAAGCCTTGGCCTGGGCAGGGCTGTGCCCCCGCTTCCCTCAGAGCCAGAACCACTTGCCCCTGTCTGTGGGTTCTCAGCCTCTCAAATGTCCCCAAAAGAGCATCTCAGCCTGGTGCACCACGCTGTCCCTAGGGCAGTCCCTGACTGCTGCTGGCCATTCTGTCCGGGCCCTAGACACTCATGGGCACAGGAAGTATCTGAACAAGGAGCCTCCGCCAGGAGAGCAGGCGGAGTTGCCAGGGCTGACCCTGGACCTGGAGGTGGGGTTCTTATTGCTGCACCTGCACCTGCCCAAACCTCAGACCCCTGGGGGGAGGGGGAGCGAGGCTGGTGGGGGTGGGTCGGTCCAGAGGCCAAGGGGGAAGTTCAAGGGAGACGATAAAAACGAATGTCCAAGGAGAGAAAACCAAATTAAACTTTAAGCAGATAATATCGGATTTAAGGGAGGAAGAGAACAGGGAGGTGCTGGGACTCCAAGCAGGCAGAGTGGCAGTAAAACATCAGAGAGACCAAGAA